TTGATTAAAAACCTAAATTAATACCAGCTTTTCATTCATCATTCTTTAGAGTGCTTTCCTGGCTAAAAATTAAACTAGTTCAAAAATGAATGAATCACAAAAACAGAGAGAGAGATGTATAAATTAACCTAGATAAAAATTAAGTTAGTTTAGTAGGAATAAGGGGATCATGCAAATCTTATCTCCACAGATTCACTAACTACATTCTAAGATGGTTGGCATTCTAAGGCAGTTTTAATATGTGTCACTGAGTTAAGGGGTGCATTTTTCCAGCTGGTGGTAATTATACAAAATGCATAAAGGTAATTAAATTTTTTATCAAAAGAGAAAAACAGAGAGAAAGAGTGAAACAGAAGACAGAAACCTTGAAAGGAGGGTAATTTTTATGTATTAGAAAAATTTGTCCTTTTCTTCATATATATATCTGATAAAAATGATAACCATGTGAATGTAGCTGAAATGTGGCATCACAGAACTGCAATTAGAAACCAACCAAAGCACATGCACTGATTTCCTTTAATATCAAAGTCTGTAATGATCACCTATCTTCTTACATAAATGAACAATTCTTTTTTATGTCTTTGCTGAGGTTTAAAAAAGCACTTTATTTCTTCACTTAAAACTGGCAGGATTATTTTTATAGTGGCAGAGGGACATGCGTAAGGTAAAAGATTCACAGGATCATTTACGCAGCTTATTGGTCCACGGATTAAAAGAACAAGTACACGGGTGTAACTAAAGGCAGTATAAATCCATGCAAAGAAACTTGATTTAGAACTCCTGAAATCTAGATTCTCACTTTTTTGGCTGTGCCACATTAGCGTGGAGGTATGAGTAACTCACAGCCTCTCAAGGTCTTATTCTAAAAAGAAGAAGCTAGATTTTTAGATGACCTCAAAGGTCCAATTCTGCTCTGAAATTCCATTATTCTAATGTTGATAATACCTTTTTGCTAGGAACAATGCCATTACAGTACAACCTGAGGTATCCAATTAACTAATTAAATTTGAAGACATAATCCAATAGGAGTTTCTTCAGGGAAGATGATAAAATGGTATGGCTATATAAATTCTCTCTTCCTTTTTTCAATGTGAATAAAAATACAGCATTTCCCTAATCAGCTCCCTCTATCAAAAGGTACATGTTTGAAATTAACTTGGTTGTTTTAGAAACCATAGGATTATAGCTACTGGAAACACAGGTAGAAAGGGAAATAACAATATTATAAGCTTTGAAAGAAAATATTCAACGTTTTACCATTTAATATGACTCAGTAAACTGACTGAGGAAACTAAAATAAAGCACAGAACTGTACATACTTAACACCTGCAACTAAACCCGCATAAGTACATGAGGAAAACAAGAAACCAAAACAGTCACACTGAAATGTTCTGGAAAATTAAAAATTCTGGAGATATAAATAAATATAAATCCTATCAAAAGTTACAGACAAAACAGAGATAAGTCAATTATGAAAATATTAATAAAAAAGAAACATTCTATGTGTCAAGTAGTAAATGAGATAATAAAAATGGAGGTACAAATGAAACTTAAAAATTTTTCTTTTTTTTTTTTTTTCCTATTTTGGTTTGCTAAAACTCAGCAGCTGTATTATCTGGGAGACCTCATCATATTTATTTTAAAAGAGACAAAGAATATCGGAAATGCATAAGAAATTAAAAGGATAAAAATGTAATACAAATCAACTACAATAGGGAAGACCAGATGTATCAAAAATCAACAAGATTGAGTGACATCATAATAGCTGCATAAGACAATCTATACATGAGGGGAAAAAATTAAGTAACTATATACATTTACTTCTAATTATTCTGTTATCTTTATAACGATCTATGTCCCCATCAAGTCTATCAGTTCCCTGAAAGGAACCTAATGATGTTATCTTACATACACCTGTAGCTCGCATATAAAAAATGCTCAATTAACTTCTTGCTGAATATAAGTGAACCCCTTAGGCATACTCTAAGGAGTAGGGGAGGGTTAGCAAACACTAAAGTCAAATACTGCCCTATTTTAATCCTATAACCTTTGCCTGCCTCTTCTGCTTTACAAAGTTTCTTGATGCTAAAGTCCTTATTTCCAATCTTACCATAACAATTACACCAAAGATAGCTAGATGAACTTGAATCAAGTCTGCTCAATGCTCCCCCCTCCCACCACCACCAAAAAAAGGCCCTTGGGAAAAACATTGTATTTATTCACTTTCAACACTTGCTTTTTTTTCTGATCTACTATAGCTACTAAAAAAGAACCCTGGTGGCATAGTGATTTAAGTAGCTGGCTGCCAACTGAAAGGCTGGTGGTTCAAACCCACCAGCCGCTCTGTAGGATAAAGATGTGGCAGTCTGCTTCCTTAAAGATTTACAGTCTTGGAAACCCTATGGGGCAGTTTTACTCTATCCTACAGGGTCGCTGAGTTGGAACTGACTTGATGGCAGTGGGTCTGGTTTTTTGGTTGATAGCTATTAAACGAAGCAACATTTTCTGATAATCATTTATATTTGAGTAACTATGATTCTTTGTGAAGTTTTAAGTTTCAACGTGTTACATCTACCTGAGTTTATAAATTGTTCGCTGCATTTCATAATGAATTGCTACTGTTACGACTTTTAAATACTAGCTATGTGTTGGGGAGCCAGAAGTGGGAAATAAGGTGCCTAAAAATGATTTCTTAAAAGACAACTCAGTAGGCTTCACAACCCTACCAAACTCAATACCCATCCCCACTTTATAATAAGAAATATTTTACACTGACCTTTATAACTATTTGAAATGAAATGCATAGGTATTATAACCAATGTATATACATATTTTTAAAGTATCAATACACTAAATCATACAAATGGGGAAATTTTTTAAAGAAATTAATGATAAAAAAATATGTATTTAAATATGTTAAGTCATGGGCATGACTATACCAGAAGACATAATGAAGAAATCAGATGCTTCTACCTAGACAGAAAAATCACAGTAAATACAATTACAAATGTCCACGGACTGGTATATTGTATTGAGGATTCAATTACTATGAGCCTCAGTGCCACAGGAGGCAAGAATTTTCAAAATGATAAAATACTGGTAAAGTTTAGAACAAAGTACAACCTTTCCATAGTGTACCCTGTATACACTGCTAGAAAAATTCAATGCACGCTAAAACTATGCAAAAAATATACTTTATATTCTAGTTATGTTCTAGGCTCATTTAAGTACCACGCAAGTCTTGCAGCCATACAAATATCCAGTGGGGCACTCAGAAGTCCTGCAGAACATGGAACTAGTCTCTGTTGTATAAAATTGTCATAATTAAGATGTTCAAGTAGTAGCACTACTACTTTCCCTGATCCTAGTCACTAAACGCCCTTCAATTATTTTGTCAAGCAAAAATGCCCTCACAAATTCTAGAACACATCCTAGAAAGCAGCTACTACCCCCACCAAAAAACACAGCTCTAATAGTATGCGCTGTGTGGTACAAGTAACAACCAAACTATTCGAGCTGATTTATGCTAAACAGAAATAGCAAATCTTGTCAAGAAACAGAAGAATATATAAGCATAATATTAAAGTATTTGCCAAAGTCATGTAAATACTTACATTTCCCTTTGGACTGTAAATAGTTTGTATAAATTAAACCAGGTAAAGGAGTTTGCTATTAATTTTGAAAGAGAAACTTAAAAATTTAGCTTTTCTTTCAAGTCAAAAGAAATTCTTAAACAACGTAAGTATCTGTTGCACAACCTGGTGAAAACTGTAGGAGAAAAATAAGGCAGGCAAACACTGACATTTGTGGTCATTCTGAGACTGTTAATTTGCAATCAGGCTAATTCTTGCTTTGTAAGTAAAAAGAAAAAAACTGGTTCAAAATCATCTATATGACATCAAAAAAATAAATTTTTTTATAATTTATTTTTGTTGATGTTGAGAATATACACAGAACATACACCAATTCAACTGTTTCTACATGTACTGCACAATTAAGTGACATTAACTACATTTTTCAAGGTGTGCAACCATTCTCACCCCTTGTCTGAGTTGTTTCTTCAGACATAAACGCACTACCTCCTAAGGTTCTTATCTAATCTTTTGTGTTGCTGTTGTCAATTTGATCCCATATAGAGCAAAATGCTCAAGGCAGATATTCTTTACTAGTTAAGCTAAACTATTGCTTGGTTTTAAGAAGACTTCAGGGGATATTTTTGGTTTAAAGTTTAAGGATTATCTCAGAGCAACAGACTCAGGGGTTCATCCAGCCTCCATGGATCCAGAAAGTCTGGAGCCCATGAGAGTTTGAAATTCTGTTCTGCATTTTCCCCCTTGGGATCAGGATTTTTCTATAGAACCTTTGATCAAAATGTTCAGTAATGGTAGTTGGGAACCATCTAGTTCTTCTGGTCTCATGGCAAAGAAGACAGTTGTTCATGGAGGCAGGAAATTCTAAACTCTTAATAAACACATAATTTTTCTACTAAAGGGAAAACTAATTATTAATATGAAATAATAAAAAATATTCCATCTCTTTTATGTAATGAAAAAGATTACATCTGATTTTAAGTCAAAATGATCAAGAGATATAAACTCCAAGCAAATATTACTATGCAAAATTAATGACTGACCTCAAAAACCCTAAAATGTGTCTCCAAATAAATGTGTCAAATGGCACTTTTCATAGTATTGTGGCCATTGTACCTGATTCTAAACATTAAGATTTTTCTCCAGTATTGGAAGAGATAGCTAGTTCTTTAGGTCAGCACCAGCTGAAATAAATGACCTATATTTAGGAGCCATACTTCAAAAAGATCACAGCCATTGAAAACCCTATGGGGCATAGTTCTACTCTGAAACACACAGGGTAGCCATGAGTCATAATCAATTCTATGGCAGCTTTTTTTTAGGGGCCAACCACTCATACTAAGCACAAACAGGAATGGAGATCAATGTAGGAAAGAGCAGATTCATCTCTTCCTTCTCGTATTACTCAAGGACATTTGATCATTATGATTGAATGAAAATCACCTGCCCGAGATGAAGTGTTCTCCACACACCCCCTCCCCACCCCATCTCTTTCTCTAATTCTTTTCGCCAAGGACATATAGCTGAACTTACAGAGGCAGATTAAAAAGATGATGTAATTCCATGAAATGTCTTACTTTCACTATTATTGAGCTCCTTGAGCAGTGGATCTGTATCTCATTCATCACGTAATAATCATTCCAAAAACCATTAACTCCATGAATAAAGAAATAATTATCTCTATACCCAGTAGAAACTATGAATTAGGAGGCATTACAAATCCTGTCTTTAAATTCTGACTCCTTGAGGGCTATTTTAGACATGCCTAGGAAAACCCTAAACTCAACCAGGACAGTTCTGGCCATAATGCACATAGTAATTACTACCTATCTTTTCACCTAGGACATGTATAAGATATAACTATAAAATTGTAACAAAATAGCTTCGGTTTGCTGATCTGACAAAGAGACCTGTCACATTTACTGAGTTCGTTTAACCATGGAATTCAGATGTTAAAAGAAACTAGACTACTGGAAGAACTTCTAAAAGTTTGTCATAAGATTTTTACAGTTTCTCTTGGCTGGAAACATGTAAGTTGCCAGGAAAAGTTACTAAAGGAACTTTTATCGCACGTCTGCTCATTTTTCTGTACTTTAAGTTCTTAACCAGCTTAAATTAAGAAACTTAAGAAACAGGGTGCAGGTGTACCAAAAGGTTTAAAGCAACTTCTGGTTAAGTACACAAGCATCCTCTGTTAATAGTTTTTAAAAGTCTCTTTTGCTCCATACATAGCAAGCACAGTTGAGACAACAGCCCACTGGGAATCCAGGGGCTCAACCTAACAGTGGAGGGAACCACTAACGAACAGACTGCCAGTGGAACTCTCTTAGTAGTGAAGATCCATAATAAACCCAGGAAATGTTGTCTAATTCATCTTTGTATCTCCAGCATTTAATAAACTGTGCCTAAATGCAAATATCAGTATGTGGTATTTGCTCAATGTATTTATTGATGTGAGTAAAGTGAAAATAGAAGCATGCATTCATAAGCCTACTAATGATTCCTCAAAATGCTGTGCCAGTGCTAAAAAAAAAAAAACTCCTCCAATTTCTACAGCAGTGCCATGTAGCATAATGGTTAAGAACAGAGCTTCAGAATTCAAACATCTTGTTTCAATTTCCAGCGTGGCCTCTTTCTCATCACTAACTAGCTGATATTTGGGCTAATTATTTAACAACTCCAAGCACTAGTTCTTCATCTTTAAAATGGCTATTACAATAATAAAGCTGTTAAAAAAAAAAGTCTTTTAGACAGGTCCAGCATGCTTAGCACAGTCAGATTTTGGTGACTGCTGCTAGCTGCATAGTCAAATTCTACATAAGCAATCAACAAATAAATATTGATCTACTGAAATCCACTTCTACCTTTGGAGACTAAGCTATTTTAAGTAGGTCCTTAAGCATTACCCTGCTACCTAAACTGAAAAAAAAAAAAAAAAAAAAAAAAGTGTTGAGCAATGCAGTATGGTGGATATAAAGACTAAATGCTAAGAAACCTGGGTTTTAGTCTTATCCTTTACACTTAGAATAGCTCTCGGTCTCATGTCTCCCATTTATAAATCTCTTAATATTCCTTGCAGCATTTCTAGGAAAGCTACACACACTTCTAAAATACAAAGTCACAGGATTCCAAAAATTACACAGCATGTTTCATCAGCTACACTCAAACTTATGATAAGGACAAAAACTGAAATTTTAAACCTATATTCATTTTAAAGAATAGAAATTATTCAGCGAGACAGGCGAGATGAGGATTATGTATGACTACAAACATATGCTACATTAAATTCCAAAACTATAGATTTCTAGGAGTTAATTACTGTCCCTACAGTCTCAAGCGGAAAAACTGATAATTAAGGCTATTAACGACAACAAAAAGACAGTGCCCCAGTGCTCTGCAGAGAAAAAAAAGGAAGGTGCCAAGGTGCCCAAGAGACTATCCATACAGAGGAATCTTTCAGAGTAAGCACCTAGTACTTACTGCAAAATCTGCATGCTGGCAAATTACTAAAGCATCCTAAAATATTAGGATAAGTAAATATAATTAGTAAAACCTCATTAACCACCGAAAGATCTGGAACAAGTATGCTATATCTACCGTATCACTTTCTTGAATTCTATCATATATGTATTTTGAAGAAAGGGAAAAATAATTTTTTTTAAATGCTGACATTTAAAAGTGGCTAAAAATGAAGTTTTGCTGCCTTCAAGAACACTAAAAACCACGTAAGAGGAAAAAAAGAAGTGGACCATATCACATTACATGTCAGTAAAGCAATCCACGGCAGCTGACTGATATAAATCCCAGGAAAAAAAAAACTAAGTTACAGATAAAAATAAATGGTCTTACTCTTAGCTAGATTACTGTAAAGTAGATAAAATTTAAGAAAGGGAAAAAAAAAAGCTTCCAGGGGAAGAGTACACTAAAAGGGTTAAATTATTCCAAGTTGCACATATAAACTTATTACTTAATGCCCTACAAAATCATGTAAAAAACATGAAAACCAACATCTAACACTGAAAATATTTAGAATGTCTGTGCCTATACATAAGGTTAAAAAAAAAAACAAAGGAAATAAGCTGGAAAAAATAAAATCATAACCATTCATTTCATAATCATCCCATTTTTATATTACTCACTCATCACTACACTTGTACTGAACATATATAATTTATCACACAGAAGCAAAATTTCTAAGCTTCTCCCTACCTTAGGTTTTTAGTCAAAATGAATGCAAACAATCACGTGGGATTCAGCCAAGCACTGACGTTAAATTCTGCTCTGTCAGAAGAGAGCATCTGTCAAGCCCACATTTAAACTGCCGCCTGCCTGTGCAGCAGCTGAGGAACCGTGGATTTCAAATTATAGACTAAAACCCCAGTAAAACTGTTCAAAATCCTTCCTGCAGCTGGCAGGCAACAACAAAAGACGAGAGGTAAATCCTAGTCTTTTCCAATACAATCGAAGCACTACATTATAGCTCTGGCTGCTTTTACATTGCAGCTCAGTGTTATTACTAGAAATATGGATACTGAGAAGAGAATACAGCACTGCATTGTCCAGCCAGGAAAACAGCAGATGTAAAAAGCTTCAATGCATCAACTGTCGGCAAGAGTCAACAGTGCTCCAAACAGAACGGACAACTACAGCTCTTTTGTTTAAAGAAAGAAAGAGAAAATGAAAGAAAAAAAAAATCTCACAAGACTAGGACCCATATGAACAAGGAGGGGAACTCGAAGATAAGGAGACAGATGGACACTTTGGATACAGTGAAAAGCAATCGCAGGAGGCAGACTGTTGGGGGATGTGCGCATGTTCGGAACATCTTTTCTGCTGAAGTGATGGCGTGCCAAAAGTATTTTCAATGGGCATAATCCTCTCACCATAAATGGCCTGACCGAGGAAGGTATGTTGAAACCTTGTGTGTGATATTCACTTAAATGTCTGTTACCTTTTTGTAGCCCTGGAGATACTAATATCTGATAAACAAGTTCATACAGTTCACTGCACTTGAAATTATGAAAGGGTTTCTAAATATATGATTTTAAATTTTTTCATTGTTTAGAAGACAAGCTGTCGCTGCTTTTATTTAGTTAAATGTGTAGCTTAGAGTCATTCTGGATTACAAACGTATGGGGGGGCAGCAAGTAGTAACGAGATGGGCTTAAAGGATTCTCTAAGAAATTAAACTTAAAAAAAAAAAAAAAAAATCTGTAGCCCTCTAAAGGGAACATAGTAATCCTCTACCAAATTGGGTCAAATTGAATCTTTATCTAATATATTAATGTGCTGTCTTAAAAATGTCTATCAAAAGAGACAATGCAATAAAATTACATTAAATAGTATCAAAGACTATCTTAATATTAAGAGATTTTTCCCAAAGTCCTTTCTAAGCACAATATTAATACATAAGAGCTTTATTTAGTAGCAAAATATTCCTTCCAGTATCTATCTATCCAAATAAAAATAATGAATACAGCCTCAGAGAGTATCAACAAATTTTTAAGTCTTGCCCAGCTACAAGAATACTGAGAGGAAAGCATTAGCATAGGATCACATAAGGTAGTGTGAGTTTATGCACAGCATAACACCACAGTAGATATGCGTGTTAGTATAGTGTCCATGAATCCAACTTTAAACAAAGAGATACCAATCATTGCTAAAAATTACTCTATTTGAAGTAGTGCACTTTTATTTTAGGTAACAGACTGATTGTACACAGTCAAATCTAAGGGGGTTCCTGGTGATAATTTTAAAACTGAAATGCAAAAACATAATATGAAAATACTTTCATACAAAAATATCCATGAACAGCTATACAAAGTCAAAAAATTAAATATAAATGGGGCTAACGTGCTTCCAAGTAGTATTAACATTTAGTAACAACCTAATGCCACTGTATGTGTGTGTGCAGGACAGACATAAATCTAATGAAGTATTTTAGTAACAATCATAGTTAGAATAGCAACTCCAGGCTAAAGAACTCAAAAGATATCTCTAAATTTTTTTTTTTACAAATCTATCAAATATTCTGATTTTTCCTCAGTTTACAAAATGGCTCAGTATCCTATTACTTTAATAACAGCAAAAGGCAAACATTTTTAAGACATATGTAAGCACTCCATTCCCAAATGAAGAGCTAAAATTGGGCAAGTTTATCAGGCCCTACTACTCTTAATGTATTATCATCAACTCTCACTCCTAACCATAAATTTTTATTCTAAGAAAGGCTGAAATCAGACAGTATTCAACAACAAAAAGGGTTGTAAAAATCTCAAGTCCCTCTTAGTGCCTTTATCAATGCTAACGTCATCAATTAAACATTTTTATAAGCTAGACATTTCAAAAGTATATTTTTTTATTAAAGCACCACTTAAATCTAAAATTGTTCCAACAGACTGAAGATACCAACACTTTTAAAAGCCAAATGATTAAAAACAGCATGTGTGTGTGTACGAGATAACTCACTTGCATTTTACTGTAACATTCCTCCCACGAACTTCAAACCATGTATCTAAATACCCATTAATAACTCGAAAATATTACCATCAAAAAAGAACTGTAATAGGTTAATCAAAGCTACTACTATCCTGTAAACATAAAAATGCAAAACTACTTTACATGCCAAAAATATTTTAACCTTGTCTTGTTCCCATTTTTCACGAATTAAAATACAACAGGCAGTAACTGAGACTAATTGTTTAATAAAAGGAGAAACAGTTACTTCAGTTTTACTCGATTCTTAACAGAAAAATGATAAATACCTGAGACACTTTTAATACAGAATTTTAAAAGGCTAGACACATGCATTTATTTTATCAATGAGAGACTAACAAATAGGTATATATGGACTTCAAGCCTTGGTCACTTAATACTTACAAATTAAAAATATCATGAAATTTAAATTAAGATGTATGCTGATATCACTATCACATACTGTACAAAATTATATTAGGAGCAAAAACTATTTATGTTAGATTACAATATAAAATAATTTGCTCCTTTCTGTAACACTGAAATACTTTGGAAATAGCACTTCAGGTACACTGTTTTCATAAAAATACTGTAACTTATTACTACTATGTTTACCTTCATTCATTTAAACATTCATTCAAACATTTGACCTTATATTTATTGCTTCTTAAACTATCAAATTTACACATTTAAAAGATCTACATGACTGGACTTCAATCAGATTCCAAGCATTATTATATCAACAGAAAGCTGATCAATTTAATTTAGCTTTGGAATGTTTAAAACAGATTATCAAATAAATTTAGGAAGCAACGTTTCTTTAAATTTACATATATGACCCTTACTTCTACCAGCCTCTTTATTGGGGGGTAAGGGTAGGAAAGGAATCAGTATTATTTACCAAATAGCCCATTTGAAAATAAAAACTTAAAAACAGAAGGGCCAACTATTTACAAGTAGCAGAAATAAAAGTGAGTTTCTAAATCAGAACACTCAGCTCTATTATTTTCAACCTAGCTCACAGAAGAACTGTTTTACTGATACAATCAATAGCTTTGGTCTTCATTACAGTAATAAATTAAATTTACATAAATAAATGCTAATAAATAGCAAACTAGATTATTTGTTTTTAAAATCTCAAACTTTAAAATCAGTTTACATCTCTCAAAATTATTAAATAATTTTTTACATTTGAAATTACTATGTAATTTTAGAAACTAGAAATTATCAAATGCTAGTGCCTGTAATATTATACTCACACTTAGAAATTTTTCAAATTCCCACCTACTTGCTCCTCCTAGTGGCTGTTACCAGAATAGCAGCACTTTCATTCAAACACGCCTAACATTGTCAATCAGTATTTTCAAAGTACTTAACATTACGTACGTGATTTTCTGCTATAATTATTCAATTACTGAAGATTTCCATGTACACATGATTATTTCTTAACTAAATGTCATATCAAGGTCATGCAAATTTGTTATTAACCATGAATCTTTCAATACCAAAGGCTAAAAACACACATATGTATGTATATATTATAAATGCAAATAAACAAATATTCCTACATTACAATTTTGTGGCACTGGCTATACCGTTTTCTTTTGCTTAAAGAAATAATTTTCACAGTAGTGAGTTGAAAAAATATAATTTACACTTTATTTAAAAGTTTTTTCTCTTTTTGGGAAGCTCCTCACCTACCTCCTACTCCCCACACCTTGGTCCAGAAAAACTAAGAACAAGTTGAAAACCATGAAAAAGTTTGTATATGCACTGAAAAACCTTGTTCAGACATAACATATTGGTTCTTAATATGAAGCATCATGAACCTCCCATACTGACAAAACATCATCTTTTTAAAATCCAGGGCACACTAAGTGATGTGTAACCAAAAGTCCTAGCAATTTAACAAACAATTTTCTACACACAAATTTAGGACACAACATAATTCAAGAATCTTTAAAAATATATTTTTTGAAATTTTAAGAAGCTGGATGTGCTAGTAGCTACTACATATATTTTGTAGAAAAACGGGAAGGACTGTCCAAAGTAGTTCTCTGTTTAATTCTAACATACTCAGCCGAGATATGTGATGGTGCTGTGCCAAGGCCACAGATAATTAATTACTTTCTATATTTTAAAATCAATCTTAAGTCTAAGTAAGGACAATGATCTCCTGAATATCTCATATTTGAATTGGGAGGTTAAAATTAGAAGAGTACTCGAAAATGTTCATCATTTATTTCCTGTCTAAAAAATCTGCACTGAAGTTATTGGACACTTAAAATTAATTTTGACAGGTGCATCTTCTCATTGACTTTCTCAACACGGTAGGGGCCAATGGCAACATGCCAAGCAGTGCACTGTGACTAACAGAGCTCTGCCATAATCAACCCTGCACTGTCTGTCCCACAACTGATACATGACCATTTTACAAAAAAGGCCGCTGACTGCACCATACCACCAATGGTATGTCAAATCAATTTTAATTAATGCCAATAAATTGTCCATCTGTTCTCAAGGCCTTTTTACACAGCTTCTCTCAGGAATCTAGCAACATTTTACTCTTATACATGCATATAACTTTTAAACTCTTTTAAACTTTGGGTCAAAGTACAAAGGGCCAGAACCACTGAGACAATGAAGTAAGTGAAAGAAAATTAACTCATCTCCTTAAAGTGTTCATTTTGCCACAGTTATATTTTTAAGGAAATTAATCCTGATCCAAGTGATATCACAGTTGTATTAACAAGAGGAAAGAAATTACAAGCTTCATTTCTGGGTTATCACATTTTCACAGCTTAAAAGATTTTATTAGCGTTTCACATCTCTTTCAGGCAGTTCTGTAACATTTAGCATTTTATAAACTTTTATGTTTTATCTTTGTAGAATGACTGCGAGGGACACAACGTGACCAAATTAGAAAATGATTACCAAAGAACAGTATTGACTCCGGAGAAGAAAACAACATTTTCAGCCATCATTATCTCATATCCCATTATTGGATATTTACAAAATGCTTCAGTGGAGGAGAAGACACTGCTGCTTTGCAAAGATGACCTGGAATGCCAAAAGGTCTCTCTTCCGTACCCATCTTATTGGAGTACTTTCTCTAGTGTTTCTTTTTGCTATGTTTTTGTTTTTCAATCATCATGACTGGCTGCCAGGCAAAGCTGGATTCAAAGAAAACCCTGTGACATACACTTTCCGAGGATTTCACTCTACAAAAAGTGAGACAAACCACAGCTCCCTTCGGAACATCTGGAAAGAAACAGTCCCTCAAACGCTGAGGCCTCAAACAGCCACTAACTACAATAACACAGACTTGTCACCACAAGGAGTTACAGGACTGGAGAATACACTTAGTGCCAATGGAAGTATTTACAATGAAAAAGGTACTGGACATCCAAATTCTTACCATTTCAAATATATTATAAATGAGCCTGAAAAATGCCAAGAGAAAAGTCCTTTTCTAATACTACTAATAGCTGCAGAACCTGGACAAATAGAAGCTAGAAGAGCTATTCGGCAAACTTGGGGCAATGAAAGTCTTGCACCTGGGATCCAAATCACACGAATTTTTTTGTTGGGAATAAGTATTAAGCTAAATGGCTACCTTCAACGTGCAATACTGGAAGAAAGCAGACAATATCACGATATAATTCAACAGGAATATTTAGATACATATTATAATTTGACCATTAAAACACTAATGGGCATGAACTGGGTCGCAACATACTGTCCACGTATTCCGTATGTTATGAAAACTGACAGTGACATGTTTGTCAACACTGAATATTTAATACATAAGTTATTGAAGCCCGACCTGCCTCCCAGGCATAACTATTTTACTGGTTATCTAATGAGAGGATACGCACCCAATCGAAACAAAGATAGCAAGTGGTACATGCCACCAGACCTCTATCCAAGTGAGCGCTACCCTGTCTTCTGTTCTGGAACCGGTTATGTTTTTTCTGGAGATCTGGCAGAAAAGATATTTAAAGTTTCTTTAAGTATCCGTCGTTTGCACTTGGAAGATGTGTATGTGGGGATCTGTCTTGCCAAGTTGAGAATTGATCCTGTACCCCCTCCCAATGAGTTTGTGTTCAATCACTGGCGAGTTTCTTATTCAAGCTGTAAATACAGCCACCTAATTACCTCTCATCAGTTCCAGCCTAGTGAACTGATAAAATACTGGAACCATTTACAACAAAATAAGCACAATGCCTGTGCCAATGCAGCAAAAGAAAAGGGAGGCAGGTATCGGCATCGTAAACTACACTAGAAAAGACAACAATTTTTTTCAAACATGCAATCTGTAAATATTACTAAAAGCATGTATAGTTAAAACTGATTACATCAATAGAACAAGTTTTAGTTAAAGCCCATCACATGAAGAAATTCAAAAAATATTTTTTTAATTTCTGAAGGGGGTAATTCTGAAAACTACACTATATAACACAAAAGGTATCCCAAAAGAAATCTATTAGAAAATGTATAAGGGGGTTCTGTGTATTAACATGCAATAACAGGCATGCATACATCAATGATTCAAGTCTTATTATAGGGGCCAACAAAATATATTTGCATATATTTTCCATATAAATTTTAACTTAAAAAAGAGACCTTCAAAAGACCCTTCATTTTAAATTTAGTTTTTCATTTCAATATACAACTAAATGTAAATAAAATATTACTATCAATTCTAAGAAACCCTTTTAATTGTGCAAAGTACAAATTTTTTGACCTGGCTATTCCAGAGTTCTCAAAACTATATTCCATGCAATTAGATTTAATTTAGTGATTCCTCAAATGCATTTATAAAGTTCAACTGTTTCACCAATGCAGCTCTCATTTAAGTATTTATTCTTTAAAAACAACTGAGATACTCATTTTAACTCCTTTTATTAATACTCATATATATCGGGGGAAACTTATTTTGACATGATGTGATAAAATGTGAAAATCAATGTGTCTCAGGCTCAAGATTTTATAAAAGAAGTTATTAAATGTTTCCAAATAGACAAACTTTGTTTCCTCGTTGGTGTTAAGAGCCAAACTAGTATTTCAGTGATTCAATTAGATCATTTACTGCATTCTTAAGAGTATCACCAATTAACTTCAAGCATATCTGACTATACAAATATATCATGTTGCTCTAACTGAAGCAAAAGTGAGGTACAAAGAGGATGTACTGTTGAAAAGATAAAGAGTGCAGCAGCAATTTCATTCAATACGCTTTTAAGATACATGTCTGCCAAACTGCAATATAATGGGAAGTTTATTTCCTGACAGCAGGGGCACACATGCCGATCCTTAATCATTTTATGGCACCTATTTCTTTGCCTGAGTGCCAAGTTTACAAACCTGCAATTTTTAATTTGGTAGATGACAAATATTCTGCATCAACAATTAAAACCCTTCTTGAGGGGAATGGGGGAAAACTACAAATGTTTGGTGAACACTTGATTCTAGGATGAACAATGTATACGATGCACTTTTATCAAGTTTTTTAATAAAAAAAACCAAGGTAAACAAAAAAAATCTTTACTGAGTGTTATGGTACAAATATTTTCACAGTAATTTTATTTGGCTCCATCAAGAAATATTAACCCAACAACTTAAAAATATTATTTCATACAAGTGTATAAATTTATCAGTCTTAGGATGTTATTTAACATTAATAACAATCATTTTTATCCTTGATTCTGCTCTGCAAAGATAAATCACCAGAACAGAACTGCAGTATTTGTTAAAGTTGAGAATCACAGAAACTGTTTAAGTACTTAATACTTAATGTGTTGAGTTCTATTTACACTCAATTTATCTCTCATTTTCAAATCAGTAGCCTAAATGTTCTGTTCCACATTAAGTAATTTTGAAACCTGACCTATATAACACTCCCCAGCTCTTGGTTCAAGTCTGTTTTTCACTTCATTTACTCTATAGGATTACCGATTGATCAAAATTACCATATAATAGTCACATAAGAGGGTAATACCAAATCACATAAGCAATTTTGATAAAAGACAAAGGGAATCCTTCCCTCGGTGTAGAGTAATTCTGATTTATACTTCAGAAGTTTAAAAAGGGGGGAGAGGGTGTGTGTGTACATGTGTGCATATATGTGCACAGAGACAGAACCTAAGTGCTATTTGTCCAAATTATGATTATAGTGCAGGATCTTTAAAATATAGTATTTTCATTTATGAAACAAAACAGGTTTAAAAAAATGACTTACGTAGAAACAATTCTTAACAGGCACCTAAACTCCTCCAATCTCAGACATCAATTTAAAATCATTCTTATATTTTCTTAATATTATCTTGAAGAACGAAAGTAATCTGATGATACTCTGAGTTCTTAAAGGACAATGAATCAAACAGTAAAGCTTCTTAGTACTGCTGAAAATTCTCATTTTAAAATAAAGTCTGTTATTAATTAATTTTTACCATCCACTCTCAACATTAGCTAATTTCTTGAGCAAAATCAGCTGATATTTCAACACCTCACCAAGTGTAAATTATGCCTTCTTCATGCCCAGTACTATGTAATTTGTATTAAATATGAAAATACAATTTTAAATGGTGGCACTGCATTTGATCAAAGGGGAAAAAAATACAGGAATAACAACTATGTAATCATTACATTCAAACGAACTGTTAATAGATATTTTGGAAGATAAAAATACCAAAACTTCTAATACTTACACTAACTTATTTTGATCAAGATTAGTAGTGACAAAGTTCTAATTCAACCAAATAATTTAGATTTCTCCTCATCCCTTTACATACAGCATAATCACAACACTCTCAACTGGAACTTTATAGCTATTTCCAACAAATTCTACAGAAATAATACCAATAACAGCAGCAGGAACTATTTGCTAACTGAGCAAGCACTGTGTTAAAGTACATACAGTCATATAATTCTTATAAACAATACTAAGAGATAGGAAAGAAAGACTCATACAAGAGGTTAAATATCTAAGACCACCAGCTAGTAAAGGAGCAGGGTTCCATTTCAAAGATCATGCTTTTAACCATTATGCTATTCTGCTATATTTCACATATGACACTTGCTAAAAGGCCTAAAAAGCTAAGCAAAATGGCCTCTCTCTCTATTCTTCCATTCTCTGCCAGGGCCTCCATGCTTCACAGACATTTTCATACACTGGAAGAGGCACCCAACGTTAGGTGTAAATAATGAGAAGGGAAGGTAAAAGACATCTGATCTCTCAGCCATTATCTCTTCTTCTCAGTCGTTGAATCTGGCAGTCAGAACCTTTGAAACACACGTGCACCATTGCTTATCTCTTGCCCCTTTGGCACTGAGGTACATCAGTACACTGCACGCAAGTGGCACTTAGAAATTATAAAAAGTGTTTCTCTGAAAGCACAATTAATAATTTTTAATAGAGAAAAGTGGCACTATATTTACCCACCCCACCGTTCAGTAACCTAATGTTTGGTGGTGAGGTGGTAAAATCCAAATATCTAGCTGATTCAGGTTTTTGTTTTGTTTTTTTTCTGGAAAATTTCATTATTGTATTAGCATAGATTTAAGAAGCCAAAATAAACCTACTACTGTACATACATTTCTAAGATACCTCACAGACATATCAATTTGATAGACATTCATGTCTATCAAATAATAGAAAGGGACATCTTGAGTTTTGAGAGTAACCTGTCAATGTACAATCCTTATTCACCTTCCCCAAGCATGATATAGTTATAAACCTTACTGCTGTCAAGACACAATTTCCCAAAGAGGAAGAAAAATGCCTCTCTATCTACACAAAATTGTTTCCTCTTCCTCTACCACAACAAATGGTGAGCAAAAGCACAATTGGAGCTAAAGCATCCAATTGTCTCAATGTATTTATTAATCTAAGTTTTTCAATTTCCAACTGAATCTGACAGATTCTACATTTGAATCTCACTTTACACGGTATCCTAAACGTTAAAAAAATGAAAATAGATTAACAGTATAATTTAAAACTACGAAATGACAGAAACCTAAAACATAATATGCAAAATCTTAAATTCATGACTTACAAATGAATTTGCAATTAAATGTTTAAAAGATACTAATATATAGAACATAGTAAAATTAATATGGATTATCTGCCTCACTGTCGTCATTAAAATACTATTAAAACACATGAATATAGAAAATAATATTAACATGAATTTCAGATGACAATGAGAATTTTCAAAGGTACTGATGGTTTGAAACAAACTAGTTAAGTCAAATTATGACCACTTCAGTAATTCCTTTAAAGGAATTGAATAAAACTTTATTCCACTTGTGATTTAAAAAAAAATACTCTTAAAAAATTAATGTTAGAAGGAATCATCTTAAACAATATTCTATTAGTCAAAATCATATTTCATTGCCAGACAAAATTAGGAGTAGGAATAAAGATGCTAAGTCCATGATTATATACTTTCATAAATGAACAATAGTTTTCAAACTAAATTTTCCCAGGTGTCTCAGTGATAATTAGTAAACCCAAGAAAGAGGTGTTTTAGAGTTCTGCCCTCACTTGAATAGCAGCTACGCTTTTATGTTTAATATGAAGGAGTTCCATGTCAAAGCTAATCTGAAAAAAGGGTTCTACTGCTTCAAAAAAAACTGAAAACTACCTCAATGAATTTTGAACTGAAATAAGTATGGCTATAGAAAAGAGGGGGAAAAAATGTTATTTACATATTATATGTCTAGGAAATCCTAAAGAACCAACTGACTCAAAGAATAAAAAGAACTCAGAAACAAAATAATATTAAAATAACAATCAGTTACAAAATAAATACAGAAAAATATAATTCGTAACAGCAACATTTTTAAAAAGCATAACAAGAACTGAGTAGGAATTCTATGGAAAAAACTAAGTTTTACTGAGAAGTATAAAAACTAACAATAAAAGGAGAGATCTTTTTTATTAGGTAACAACAATATCTACTAGAAAATAGAAATTCTTCCCAAATAACATGTTTTGTTCATCTGCATTTTCTAAGGAAAAAAATCTTATAATTAATTTATGAAGTTAATAGTAACAATCCAATCACATAGTAATAATTTAGGTTTTTAGTGTGTGGGGTGGAAATCACAAAATGATTATCATATTAACATGAAAAAATAACTATCAGTAGCTAAGAAAATATTGAGAATGATGATAAATGAGATCCTTACTGTAAAGCAACGATCATTATGATGTGTACTGGTACAATAATTAGAAGGTCAAATCAAGAAAAAGAAAGCCCTGAAAGATACTTTAAAATTTATATTAACTTAGTATCATGAACAAATTAGGATTTAATAAATTATTCTAATATTCCATTAGTCAACAGAAAAACTGGCTAATAATTGGGATTTAATGTTTAAGACTCAAGTTAAGTCCTTATACTATTACTTAACTCACATTTATACTATTACAAAAATAAAAACCAGGTGGAACAAAGTAAGAACAATGTTGTACTAATAACTATCAAACACCTATTATGAGCTAGGTATTGTTACGCATTGTAATGAGGGGGTAGGGAGAGGGACTAATCGATGATAGAGTGTGAAGGACTTTTAAAGTATGAAAGCAGAGAAAAAAAATCAAACAGGCAAAGAAAAACAGAAAACTAACTTCTAAATAATCAAAACTTGTACCATAAAATTAAAAGACAAAAGGCAAGTTATAAATTGATAAAATGTCTAGAATGACTGACCAAACCAAAAAACTCAATGTCCCTCGAGTCGATTCTGACTCATAGTGACCCTGTAAGACAGAGCAGAAATGCCCCATAGGGCTTCCAAGGAATGGCTGGTGGATTCAAACTGCCGACCTTTTGATCAGCAACCAAGCTCTGAACCACTGTGCCACCAGGGTTCCAGAATGACTGACAACAGGGTAATACTGTTGATACAGAACGAACTCTTAAAGACCAATAAGAAGACATTAACATTCCAAAAGAAATTTGACTAGCAGCCACAGATTAAATTACAAATAATGAAATCATCCAGTAAATAAAATATATTCAGCCTCATTAGCCGTCTTACAAATGCTGTTAGACACTACCTTTACCTATCAAACTGGAAGATATTTTTTAAAGTAATAGTCTATGGAGGTAATAAAAGTGCCGTGTGCACGTGTACTGCCAACAGCAGTGTAAACTGGTACAGCCTTTCTGAAAAACAATTTAAAAATATTTAACAAAAGCCTTTGAGCCATTCACCCACTCCTAAAAATCCATCATAAAGCAATAATCAGGGAAGTAAAATACTGGAAACATCTTAAATTTCTAAACTAGAGATTAAGTAAATTGTGGTAGAGTTAAATTATGGAATAGTACAGTCATTTACAATTTGGATTTGAAGATTACTTAATAACATGGAAAAATAGTCATTTTTCTCTATTAAGAAAAAAATAGGATACAAAACAATGTACAGTGTGATTCATATTTCACAACCATATACATAAACAAAACTAGAAAATACACAAAAAATAAATGGTGACCTCTGGAAAGTGAGGTAAGTATTTTCTTCTTCATATTTTTCTGTATTTTTCCGTGTTTACAATCAGTGAAAAATAAAAACATTAACAAGCTAATGAACATCATGTTAAAGCTCGTACTTTAATATATATACTGTATAATTATCACATACTCACTACGTTCACTCACCAAGTCCAATCTAATTTAATCAGATATCAAATAAATTGCAAATATTACTTTTAAAGAACTTTCTAGAGTTAAAGAATGATAATCAAAATTTTTAAACAGTCACTGGACTAGAAGATCTTTAAAAGATACGTTTTTCAATCGTTTATCAAATATTTATTGAGAACCTACTATTTGCCAGGTACAGACACTATGATGATAACTAGACAAGACATGGTCTGCCTTTAATAAATGAGGTCTGGACAGGTGTACAGCCATATGGGGAAAAAACAGATTTAGATCTGTTCCTCAACCACCTATCAGAATACCTTTCAAATAGATCAAAGATCTAAATGTAAATAATGAAACAAACCAGTTCTAGAAAGAAAGAAAGAAAAAACAAAAATCAAGCAAATTCCATTGTAACTTTAGAAAGGAAGAAACTTTCACAATTATAACAAAAAATCCAGAAGCAGCAAAAGATTAAAAATCTGATTACAAAAAATATGAAAAACAACTTGCGCATGGCAATAAAAACATCATCGGCAAAATCAGAAGACAAATGACAAACTGGAAAGGATATTTCCAATCTATAAACATCTATACTGCCGGTATATTTTTTTTCAAAAACAAAGAGGGGGGGAGAGAAGAAAAAAGACCAACATTCTGACAGAAAAATAGCAAAAAATAAATATATATATATATTAATAGACCATTTATAGAAAAAGAAATTATATACTCCCTAAACATGCTCAACCTTGGCCACAATAACAGAAATGCAAAAGAAAACGTAACTCAGAAACCATTCTTTATCTATCAAATTAGCAAAAAATTAAGTCTGACTGACATTATTCTTTACTGATAAAGAATAATATGGAAATAGGCACAGTCATCCATGCTAGTGGGGACGTCAATGGTACAACTCTTAACAAAGGCGAATTTGGTAATATCTAACAAAATTACATAAGCATTTACCCTTTTACCCAGCAATCTTTTATCTAAGAATCTCTCCCCAAAGTACACTCATAACAATATGAAATAAAGACTAATAACTAAGACATGATTTGTAATAGCAGAAGACAGGAAACAACTTCAATGTTCATCCACATGGAACTGGTTAAATAAACCAAAGCACACCCACACCACAGTTAAGACTGTATATCCCTAGAAGGACACAGACTAAGGAAAAAAAATAATTGCACTCGGCTATTTACAGTAAATGGTAATATCAGTATTGTTATTTTTGAAATTAAATTGTTGGAACGAATTCATTTGAAGTTCACTGCCCTGAAGAAATAATCCATTAAAGCCCTGCAACGTAGACCCCTAGAGATGCTATGGTTCCTGTCCCTTCTACCTCTTGTTTCTTCGATTTTATGAGCTCCCCCATATTCTTCTAATTTCTCTCGGAGGGTGTACTTCAGTTAGAATGAATTTTTACTTGCAATCAAAAAATCCTGACAGAAAACCTACTACTAGCAAATTTTGCAGTTATAAAATTGTTCCTATCTCCTATGATTCCCTTGTTGTTGTGTGCTGTCAATTCCGACTCATAGGGACCCTATAGGATAGAGCAGAATTGTCCCACAGGGTTTCCTAAACACTCTGCTTCCATAAAGATTACAGCCTTGGAACCCTATGGGGCAGCTCAACTCTGTCGCTATAGGGGCCCTGCGAGTCGGAATCAACTCAACAGCAATGGGTTTGGGGTTTTGCTTCTTTTGTTTTTGGCATCTTTATGCGAACAGATTGCCAGGTCTTTTCTCCCACACAGCCCCTGGTGGGTTCCAACCACCAATCTTTCAGTTAGCCACCAAGGGCTTAACCACTGCACCACCAGGCCTCCTTTGGTGTAATTCCATAATGCTTTGTAAAGAGGACCATGCACTGTGTGTGCTCTGCCACCTGAACAAACCAGGGATGCAAAGGGATGCGTGAACAACTTCTCTGTTAAATAAGACAGGCTGAAAATTTTCTATCTGTTTATAGTCCACATCCAGTCAATTCTCAAAAGAACAAAGGAGTTCTTGCGCATACAACATATGGAGATGAGACCATGTTGCTACAAATGCCTTATTACAGAGGAGGCATTAGACAACAGGGCTTGGGGACCTGCGTTCCAAGGTCACACCACCAGGAAGAAGGACCAATATGTCTCCAAAGCAAGTAACCATAAAAGTGGACCACCTGAGTCTGATATGCTGTAAAATGTTGTCTGAGCCTAGAAGTTACAGAACAGAGAGGACTGGCTCACAACTGTTTCACAATGGATGTTTTAAATTTTATTCCTTTATCAGAAATATGTTTGTCTCCTGACAAGTTTTTAAAAAAAAAAAAAAAAAAAAAAAGCTACAACCTTCTTCTTCCTAGCAGATTTATGCAAGAGATGAAAGTTCTGAATGACTTACTCCTCTACATTTAAGAAAGTTAATAACCGATTGGGCAAAATGGTGGTGAATAAACTTGATTTTTACAAAAATAAAACGAATTTCTTAACCAAAGTTCATAAGCATAATGCCAAATTTAAAGTATTTGTATGTCTACATAAGTGTATTGTGTACATTTAATAGTGTATTTAAAGCCATATGCTCTTCTTCATGTCCAAATTTAGTACTTTTTCAGCATTTCCTATCTCAAGTGAATGGCGATCCCCAATCAACTGTCCACACTGGAATAGAGGGAGTCATCCTTGTCACTTCCTTCTCTTTTATCACCCATATCCATCACAAAGACCTGCATGGATTCCTAATGGAATCCATCCATTTCTCTTCACCTTGCCACTACCCTTCTAGTCCAGCATCTCTCATTTGAACTACTGCAATAACTTTACAACTGGTTTCCTCATATCCATGCAAACTACAACATATCCCCATACTACAACCAGAATGGTATTTTCAAAATACAAAGCTAATCACATCATCCCACTGCTTCAATGGCTTTTAATGTTCTTAGGATAAATTCTAAAATCCTTAAAATCCTTGGCTAGCTACAAGATCCATGAATGACTGATTCTCTTCCTTGCTATAGCTAATCTCTCTATCCAATTTACTGACTCATTCCTGCCTTCTACCTCTTGTTATATAAATTATCCCCTATCTCCCTCAAGATTGAATTAAAAAGCAAGAACAACAAAGTCCTAGATTAAAAACAGTGAAATGAAATTTGACTCAATTCAAATGAACTGAGTATGAGACGATACAAATAAATGATTTTTTTGTGTGTGATAATGGCACTATGGCTATGTAAAAGCAATGTCCATATTTTTTAGAGATGCAAAGTAGGTAGGAACAAAACCAGTATCTGGGGTGTGCTTAACAATACTTCAGGGAAAGAAGGAGGGGTGGAATAGACAAAAGAAGAGTGGTTAAAAAATGGTAATTATAGAATCTGTATGATGGGCACGTGGAAGATCATATGTTATTTTCTCTATATTTGTGTTTGAAATTTTTCATAATTAAGGTATTAAAAAAATACAGAAGAAGTTATCCCCTTTGGGTGGTTGCTTTGGGAAAAAAAACAAAAGCCCTCTTGAAGGGAAAATAAAGTAAAAACAGGCACTGCCTCTCAGGTGCCCCTTTCTCTAGGTCACTGTTGCCCTACACCAGGGTACCTGACTTGAGTAATATACACTAAGTAGGGCTTTTCCTTTTTCTCCCCCCATTAAGTTCATGGAAGACAAGAGACATCAATAAAACTTGCTTTGGTATGCACTCATTTCAAACAAAAAAGAACCTATTTCCCACTGTATCAGTTGTCTTGGCCTAGAAAGTTAGTCTTTGATCAAACTAGCACCTCATGGCATTAGAAACAGCAATGGTTCAGGAAAAATATCTTAGTCTTGAGCTAACAAGTACTGATTACCCTTCACAATGAAAAAGTTTGAATGTGGCAAGGGGGGTGGAGGAGAAGGTAATGCTGTACTTATGCAACTGGGCCACACAAAATGGTTCCCAGTTTGTCAAAAAATAACTATAACTGAAAAGGAACCCTTTCCATGTGTTTAATTGGAATGGGCTGTACACATCTCCAGTCTTAGCATATTTAAGGCAGGAACAGAGAAAAGTCTTTGCACCATGCGGGAACGTGGGCTTACTAAACCGCTGTTAATACCCAGGTCTATTACACTGCCCTGGCTCTCTTCTTTGTCATTAACTTACAGAGCCTCTCTCATCAACTGCTCCTTTGTCTTTGCATAACCATTTTCTCAGCCTGGCTGACAGACAAAAAATCTTTTAGTTTTTTCCCCCAAATGTCCTCTGTTGTTACAAATCAGAAGGGAGTCTTAGCAAAAATCTATACATTCTTTCGCTCATTTTGAGAAATTTTCTTTTTAAAAAACACCAAAAATTCATCTCCTATTTGGCTTTAATCAAGCAAAAATTCCTGATTACAAGACTTCATAAAATTCTTATTCCTTCAGCACTAGGAAGTACATCCTACAATAGAGCTTCTAACTACTTTTTGTAAAATATCTGAATTCATCACTAACAATTTTCATTTACTATTCGTCTATTTCCTTATACAGAAACAAAAATTTTAACGATAGTACACAGGCAAAAGCCATTATGCAACTGCCTCTATTCTGACAAATTTAACGTTAAAAGTTAGCATTTTTACTTAATGCATATCCAAGTGTCAGTGTGTGTGTATGTGTGTGTGTTTAAATAACACTCTTCCTACAATTCACCTATATATCAATTCCTAAGACAGAAGTGGTGGTTCAGTGGTAGAATTCTCACCTTCTATGTGGGAGACCTGGGTTCAATTCACAGCTAATGCACCTCAAGCACAGCCACCACTCATCTGTCAGCAGAGGCTTGCAGGGTGCTGTGAAGCTTAACAGGTTTTAGCGGAGCTGCCAAAATAAGACAGACTAGGAAGAAAAGCCTGGCAATCTACTTCCAAAAATCAGCCAGTGAAAACCCTATGGATCAAAACAGACCAACCTCCAATTGGCATAACAAAGTTTTTTAAGAAAATGTTCTGCATGCCACTTTGGTGAGTGGTGTCTGGGGTCTTAAAAGCTAGCGAGCAGCCAGCTAAGATGCATCAATTTGGTCACAACCCACCTGGAGTAAAGGAGAATGAAGAATGCCAAAAACCCAAGGAAAGTATTAGCCCAAGGGACAGAAAGGGCCACATAAATCAGAGACTTCATCAGCCTGAGACCAGAAGAACTAGATGGCACCCGGCTACCACAATGACTGCCCTGACAGGGAACACAACAGAGTGTCCCTGATGGAGGAGGAGAAAAGTGGGGTGCAGAACTCAAATTCTAGTAAGAAGACCAGACTTAATGGTTTAATTGAGACTGGAGGTACCCTGGAAGATGTGCCCCCAGGCTCTCTGTTAGCCCAAAACTAAAACCATTCCTGAGGCCAGCTCTTCAGACAGCGATTAGACTGGACTATGGGACATAAAATGATACTCGTGAAGAGTGTGCTTCTTAGGTCAAGTAGATACATAAGACTAAATGGGCAGTTCCTGTATGAGGTGAGATGAGAAGGCAGAAAGGGACAGGAGCTAGCTGAACAGACATGGGAAATTTGGGGTGGAAAGGAAGAGTGTGCTGTCACACTATAGGGAGAGGAAGTAGAGTCACGAAACAACGTATGTATACATTTTTGTACGAGAGACTAACTTGAACTGTAAACTTTCACTTAAAGCACAACAATAAAAAAAAAAATTCAAAAAAAACAGACCAACGTCTTTGTTCATGGGGTCGCCATGAATCAGGGGCCGACTCGACAGCCACTAAACACAACAAAGGACATAAAATTCCACTCAATTACTGATCATTTGAATTAGTAGAAAAAAACTATTGCCTACTATTATCAATTGATAAAAACTTAACTGAAGGGTCAGCAAGCTATGGTCATGCACCAAATCTGGTCCGTTGCCTGCTTTTGTATGGGCACATAAGCCAAGAATGGCTTTTACATTGTTAAACGTTTGGAAAAAAAACCAAAATAATAATTATATTTTGTGACTTGTAAAAATTATATGAAATTCATTATTTAGAAAGCAGTGCTTGTTTATGGTGATGGGAAATTTGGCAACAATTACAGGTGATGTTTGCACATGATTAATGTAATTGATATCACTACTGTACACCTGGAAAATGTTGAAATGGCAAATACTGTGTTATATAGATTTTTACAACAATAAAAACAAATTATATGAAATTCCGACTTCAGTGTCCGTAAAGAAAGTTTAACTGCAATAGAGCCAAACATCCTCGCTCATTCATTTACATACTGTCCACGATGCCTTTGTGCTACAAGAGCAGAGTTGAACAGTTGCAAAAGAGACCTTATGCAGTGTTCTCATCATTTAGCACTATGTCATACTACAAATCAGAGTGATGCGGTCAAGTCAGTCATATCATTTCATTCCATTTTAATTCTCTCAAATCAATATCAGTATCATATCACCAACATTTTGTTTGTTGCCTGTACTCTGGTTTATTATTGTATCCCTAGGGCCTACAATACTGCCTGGCACACAGTAGGCACAAAACAAGTATTTGCTGAATGAATGCAAAAGACAGTATTTTGTGTGCCATGCATTTTGCCATAAAACAATGCCTGAATTTTATTTATTTTTTATTACTAGTGCATATCTATCATATTAAAACAAGAATAGTAGTATGTTTTATTGCACAGTGACATGTGGATTGTTCTGTTATTGAATTAGACGGCAAAACACTGTGTTTACTGTGCAATGATAGTTCAGCTGTGCTAAAAGAGTATAATTATCAGACTCAGCACTGTTCACAATACTTTCAACTCACAGGAAAGCAATGGTCAGAAAAATTAGAAAACAAAGTATCTCATCTCAATAGAATTTCTTCAAAAAAATGAAACTGAGGCTTCAAGTAAGTTGTTCAAAGGCTCATTTGTTAGCCAAGCAAGGAAAGTGGTTTACCTATGGTGAGTTAAGTAAATTGTATTTTATTGCAGCAGCCAAAAAAAATGTATCCAGATGAAGAAAAAATGTTTAACACTATCAGCCTTTCATCAAGAATCACTGCTTGAAGACTTGAGGACAATGGGTGCAACAGTGAGTCAATTAAAGTCAAGGTAAATCATTTCAAGTGGTTTTTTATGTTTCTTGATGAGCCAACAGCTCATTTGCTGTTATTTGATACAGCTCAGTTACAGCTCAGTTGTTGTTTACTGGAGGAGTCAATGCTACATTTGAAATGGCTGAAGAATTACACAGCCTCTCTGAATAGTCTGCATGGAACAATTACAGACAAGAATATTTGTTGAAAGTTCAGAAAACACTAATAAAATACAACCTGAAGTGGAATCTGCTATGATGTGTTCCAACTAATGACGATAAA